TTCGGCTAGACGTAGTTTGGGGCCTTCGCCTAAACAATAAGAATATACCTATCATGTGCGTATTTATAAAGGCATAGTGAAAGAAAAGGCCATATACAAGACTCGCTAAAGCGGGAGATAGGGGGTTTACTCATGATAGGTGAGGGGGCGAGGGGGGGGTTCCTGGAGTCCTTGAGAGGGCACGGGGGGGGGTTCCAGGAGGCCTGGAGAGGGCGCAGGGGGGGTTCCAGGAGGCCTGGAGAGGGCGCAGGGGGGGGGTTCCAGGAGGCCTGGAGAGCCCACCACAGGAGACCGTGGCTCCGTCTCCGCTCAGCCCAGTCTGGTCAGCCAGGTGCTGGTGCTGTCCTCAAGGCTGGCGTCCTGACCCACACCCTACGGCTCCCTGCAAAGCTAACACCCAGCCTGAAGGCATGTGACCTCCAGCCCGGAAGTCGTGAGAAATGGCTGCGTTTCCCTGAGAGGCAGTGCGCTGCGGGCTAGGGGGCAGTCACTGGTCAGAGCAGGTTCCAGCAGAGGACACAGCCGCTCCTGCGTGCCCTCGCCTTCACACCCTGCTGAAAGCTCAGAGCAAATGCAAGTCTTGGCTCAGGCGCCACAGCGACCCGCGGTGCTGGTGACAACGGAAACAGCTCAGCACTGCCTGCCACCAACGCGGTCCGTCACGTAGAGGAAGCTCAAACTGCTCCCTGCCGGCTTCCTCGGACAGCCCCAACCGCGCTCTAACTTTTGCTTCACGTCAGTTCACTCAGTGCCCCAACTGTCTACTGACGGGCAAAAATAGAAAGGCAAAGATAAAGATAACGAGAGATTTTTAAGTGGCTGCCGCTGTGGCACAGTAGGCTAAGCCTCCGACCATATGGATGCTGTTTCCTGTCCCGGCTGCTCCACTTCCAATCCAGCTCCCTGCCAACGCACCTGGGACAGCAGCGAAGGATGGACCAAGCGCTTGGGCCCCTGCACCCACATGGGAGACCCGGAAGAAGCTCCCGGGCCCTGGTGTCAGATCGGCCCAGCTCTGGCCATTGTGGCCATTTGGAGAGTAAACCAGCGGATGGAAGACCTCTCTCTCTCTCTCCCTCTCTCTGGAACTCTGCCTCTCAAATAAATAAATAAAATCTTTTTAAAAAGAGAGAGGAGACTTTTAAAAGCCGACGCCCAGCTGCCCAGGAGCCTCTGCTGCTTGTGTTGGGCACCGGTGACCGTTCTGTGACCGGCCACTCCTCTCGCCGCGGGGTCACACTCCCTGGCCTGTGAGAGATTTTCACGGGCAGCCTCCCACGCACCGTGTTCTTAGATTCCGTCTGTTCCTCACCAAGGCACGGGCAGCCCGCCTCTTCCTGGGGGTTTCCTCTCTAAAAGGATGGAGGCAAGGCTAGTGCAGGGCTGGGAAACCCACTCAGCGAGCACAAACACCCCGAAATCACCTACCTTGACCAGGGACGAGTGAGGCACCTGCAGCTTCCTGGTGTCTTCCTGGAACAGCGGGGGCGCCGGGACCTTGATGTCCCAGAGCCTGGGGGAGGGGCCTCTCTGCGGGCCATCCACCGCCTGGTCTGCCCAGCAAAGGACCGTGGTGAGAACAGCCCCAGGGAGGCAGGCAGGAGCTGGCATTCATTCAACAAACAGCCCAAGACTCTGCCGGGTGCCGGCATCAGGCAAGGGGACTGGGAGACAAGGATCCCTGGGCTCTCTGGTGAGGCCCCCAGGTTGGGCAGTGGCAGAGGCGTGGGTTTCACTTTGGGCTCTTCTGCTTCCTGCTGTGGGGTCCCACACAAGTTACTTAACCCCTCTGAGCGTCAATTCCTTCCCCTCGGAAAGGACGCCAAGGCGGCACCTACCACACAGAGTGGGTGGGTAGGAAACAGAAGGCCAGATGCAACCAGTGGGGACAAGCGCTGGCTCACGTAGAAGGAGCCACGAACAAGACCTGTCCCACCCACCCCCTGCACAGCCATTACCTTCCTCCCCCTCCCACCGTGTCCACCACCGGACAGGACAAGGCCCAGTGACCGGTTGGGCTCTTGACACTTGGCAGGTGGATGCCAAGCACACAGGCACCCACCCGTGCTCAGAGGTCAAGGGCAGCCTCTCTCGGGCCGCCTCCAGCCCCTACCAGGTAGGGATCATTTGCTGACATCAGCTCCAAGGCTCGCGCCCACCGTCCTGTGGACGGGGCTGCAGAGGCCCTGGCTCGGGGCACAGGAGCGCCCCATTCAGCACTGGCGGATGACTCACTCACTGGTCAAGGGCTGGAACGTCCACTCGCTCACCCTGGATTCGCTGAAGGTCTCCAGTCGGTACTGAAGGGGGAAAGGGTACAATCAGGCCTCTGCCGTGGGAGGACAGAGCGCCGAGCAGAGCGGGCAGCCAGCAGGTGCCGGGGCAGCAGCCACGCATGCCCCTGCCACCTGCGCCGCAAGCCTCCCCTGCCAGGCTCCTCCCTGGAGCCACTCAGGTGCCAGGAACTCGGACACAGCACTTGTGCGAGGCGAGCTTCGGGCAGCAGTGGCCTCTGCGAGGCACGGCACGTGGACTGCCCGGGGCCACGTCCCCACCAGGAGACGCTGACGTCGCAGACGCTCAGAACGGGATGGGGGGATCCCGAGCACTGCTCAGCTCCTGCCATTCCATGCAAGTAGAGGCCCAGAGAGGGCGGGTGACTTGCCCCAGGTCACCCAGCTGCTTGGCAGCCTGCTCTCACCACGACCTGTGAATGTCATCGGACTTCCAAGTGACAGCGCTCACCTGAGGGCAGCTGTGTCGCTAACACTGGGAAACGGGCACCAACAGGCACCCTGGCTGGCAGAAGGAGACACAGGTGCCCACCATGGTCTGGGTGTCAGAGGGAGGATCTTTTGAACCAATGAACTGATGATTCTTGAGCTCAGTCGTGATGTAGGGGGTGCAGCCAAGGCAGGTCGTAGCACCTTCCTCTGAGCAGGGACACGGCTGGGCGCTGCGGAGCCTGGGTGTGCATCTGACTCTGTCACTCCTGCCTGGGCACCTGCCTGCCTCCCCAGCCCGCAGTGTCCACTCCGCACACCGGCGGCACTCAGAGCTGGGAGGATCTCCAACCACGGATCAAAAATATTCCTGTAAAAACTGTGTGTACTGCACAGGCACAGGGTATCTTCTGACTAGTCTGTAAACAATGCAAACTCACGTGTTTACATAGTATTCACATTGCATCTGGTATCGTGAGTCATCTAGCGGTGATTCCAGGCCATGGGCCAGGGGTGCTGTGGTGAGCGGGTTAAGCACCTGGGACCCAGTGCCACCTCTGCTTCTGACCCAGCTCCCTGCTAATGCACCTAGGAGCAGCCTGTGAGCTCAAATACTTGACTCCCTGCCACCCACATGGGAGACCCAGATGGAGTTCGTGGCTCCTGGCTTGCAGGCACTTGGGGAATGAACAGGCAGAGAGATTTCCCTCTGTCTCTCTGCCTTTCAAATGAACAAAGATTTTTTTTCTGAAAAGGCAGTTTTACATTTAAAAAAACACAAAGCATACAGGAGAATAAACCGTGCACCATCTTGCAGACAGGGCTGGAGCCCCCGGGGGTCCTGGAGCCGATCTCCATGGATACCAAGACGATGGGTTGCAGAGAGGACTCTGCATCTCCACTGTCCCCACACACTGCCCCCCAAGTCTCCTTTCTCTGGCTGATGACACCAAACACCGCCTCCCCCACCCACAGGCCCCGCCCCCAGCCCCTCACCCGGCACAGGTTCTGCTGCTTCAGCTCCCGGATGACCAGGTCGCCGGCGGCTGCATGGCCGTAGCAGCATTTGGAGCTCACAAAGCTGAGTAGGGCTTCCCGGGCCACCTCCTCCGTCACTGTGGGGACCCTGCTGGGCACCGAGCAGAGGGAGGTTGTGGGAAGCATCCAGGGGGCTTCACTGAGGCCCAGGGAAGGGAAGGGGCTGGGGGCACCACAGTGGCAAAGCCCCCAGGAGCCACACAGGGTGGGGAAGGGGCGAACTCTCCCAGCCTCAGCAAAACTGCTTCGGCTGAAATGTGCTCAGAGATCCCAAAATTCAAAAAACAGCTGACAGCTGAATCAGACCATTCTACAGGTAGAAAAACCGAGGTCATCACACAGGGGACTTGGCCTTGACCAGAGGAGCTCTGAGTAACCTGCACAGGAAGACCCCCAGGGACTCACCATGGGGACAACCGTGGGAATGGGGAGGGGGGCCTTTCCTGGCCAGCTCACTGAGTGCCCCTCCCCCACCCTCTGAAAACCCGCTCGCCCCTGAGGCTGCCACCTCCTTAGCAAAGCCCTCCCTGTCCCAGGAATTTTGTGGATTTCTCCGTGGCAGCGCAGAGCATGCCTTGAATCCCGCCCCACAGACCCTGCTGTCCCCTGCACTGGCCAGGCCCGCATTCCTAAGCATCTGTGGACAGGCAAGGGACAGACGCTGCGGGCTGGCCTAACAGGAGGCGGCCACATGGGGAAACACGGTGTGCACTGGGCTTCGAGGTGGGCAGCCCGGGGGTGCTTTGGGAGACGCCTCTATGGCAGGCACTGGCCCCCTGAACTCATTGTCTGGGAATCCCTGCACCCCCACGCCTTCTCCACACAAGGAGGGGGCGACCTCTCCGGGATCTGGACCAGCGGTTGGCCAAGGTCTCCGGGGAAGGGTCAGAGAGGGAGGAGGACAGCTCTGCCCATGACACACCATCAGTCTGACAGCCCCCGGAGGCCGCCGTGGGCGCCGCCTATGGGAGTGGGTATGGGCTCCAGCCTGAACACTCCCGGGAGGCTGTGCTTGCAAATCCCCGGTGGCCTGGACGTGGCCCGGGCTGAGGGTTTGCCATAATTGACAGCATCAACGGTAGGTCGCCAGGCTTCGTAGGCAACACCCTGAAGGGCTCAGCAGAATGCAGAGCCCCAGGCCCTGGCCCTGTAGGTCGGGGGGGGGGGGGTCCTGACACATGCTCAGGGCTGCACTCCCCCAGGAAGGCTCCCACAGGGCACCGGAGACGCAGGGAAATGGAGGACGGGGCCTCCGGGCAGAGCCTCAGCCTCACCTGTATCTCAGGAACCAGGACCACGACCTCTGTTCCTGGGGCCTCCCTGGGGTCTCTGGAGGTGGGAAGAACACCTGCTGCCCTGAGGGAGGGAAGAGGTGGGGCTGAAGCAGGGGGCGCCGGCTGGCCCCCTGCAGGCACAGGTGAGGACCACAGATGACACGCGGAGACATCCGAACTCCAAGAACCAGCACGTGGATGTCAGGTCATGAGGAGTCCCTGGGCCCCGGGGGGTTACCTCTCCCTCACCCCTGCCACAGTTTGGGTATGGTTTGTCCCCCAAGGGCTCACGGGCTGGAGGCTTGGCGCCCAAGGTGGCCCCTTGAAGGCAGGGGCCAATGTGTTCCTGGGACAGCGATGTGTGCCACACACATAGCGAGCCTGGCCCTGACTAGAGACGCGACCTCGTCTGTGTGTGCTGCCTCCCCTGTCTCCCGCACCCCGGCCACTGCGATGCCATCAGACGCCAATTCCCCGTCAGAGCCCAGCACAGAGTGGCACCACCAGAACCGTGCTCTCTTCTTTATAAAGTACCCAGCCCTGGGGACTTTGTGACAGCAATGTCAGCCACGCAGCCCAGATAAGCGGCTTCCCTGGGAACCCCAGGGGACCCAGCCTGCTCCAGACACAGCCCCGCCCATCGGGAGCCCCGAGCAGAGGACTCACCATCACCTGGCAGGAGCCAGTCATGGCCGGGTAGTCTCTCCAGGAGCTCAGCAGGGGGCGCCAAGGGACTCTCGGCCTCGAAACTGAGTTCCATCTCACCTGTGCACAAACAAGACCGGGAGCGCCGAGCCTCAGAGGGCGGCGGGTGAGTGGACAGCCGCTTCCCAGGAAGCCAGGTGACATGGAGGGGCGCTCCCCACAGCCTCGTGGCTTCGCTAAGATGCTGGCACTCAACACTCTCGGGGCACAGATGCATCTATGGGGCCTTTCCAGCAATGCCAAGGGCAAGGACAGCAGCTGCTGTTTGCAAGCGCCTCCTTGTGGCCGTCGCCACCACCACCACCACCATGCTGCCCCAGCTTCAGGGCACCTGCTCCAGCCTCGGGGCCGACGCAACCACGCATCTCAGGTGGCCACGTGGATTCTGAGCCTCTCCTCAAGGGGCACTCCCACCACGAGAGGACCACCCAGGGCAGGCGACCGCACAGCTGCACCCTCCCAGACCCCTGACCCTGGGAGTTAAAGAAATCTGAGATGTGGGGTGGCAGGTCCCACAGCCTCTTCCACCGCACACCTCTGCTCTGGGAGCCACGCCACAGACCATGCCTGGCCTGTGCAGCCTCCTCCCCGCTCTCCCCTCTGTAGCTGCTCCTCCTCAAGTCACTTCTCAGGTGGCTCCTTGCTGGCTGCTGCTTGGGTGACCCCAGCGCAATCCTAACCCTACCCCCACTCTACGGATGAGCAAACTGAGCTCAGGAAGGCTGTGGCTCACCCAGGACTGGCACCAGAGCTTACGCCCCTCCCAAGTGTTTTTGCACAAATCACTAACCACCAGCTAGTGTCCCTAACACCGTAGCCTGTCCTGCCAGGTGGGACGTAGACACGACGGACCTGAGCCTCCCCCAAGGACGGACGCCTGATGTGAGCACACGCTCAGATACACCTGCCATGCCTGCGGCCTCACCCCGCCCACCCACCTGCAGGGACTTGGGACCCCACTGGACGTGAGGTACAAGGGGCTCAGACAGGTGGCTTCAGCCTCCCTGGGCCGCACAGCCACAGTGCTGGGGCCGGAGAGAGGCTCCTGGGTGCGGTTCAGCCCCCACCTGGCCACCGCATGAGACTGTTCCCATAGGCTTTCATGCTGGGGACAGGAGGGCTTCAGCTCCGTCTCACTGGTGGCCAAGGTGGCCTGAGAGGTGGCCGTGAAAATGTGGGCAGTGGAACGCCCAGGAGAGGTGCTCCCTGCTGCCCCGGTCAGCCAAGCACACAGGGCCAGGCATCCTGCTGACCCCACCTGTCCCACTGTCCTTGCCATCCCGCTGACCCCTCCAGCCGCCGACCCCACCGCTCTGCCAGAGGGCAGGGGGACTCAACGCTGTCAGCGCTCGACCTCCGCAAAGATAAAAAGTAACTTCCTGCTCTAAGTTTAATAAAAACGCGGACCGGAAGAACCCGCAGGTCCAGCTCCAGATGAGGGCAACGAGGCTGATGTGGCCGTAGGGGGCGGGGGCAGGATCCTGGGAAGGCCGCTGCTGTCATGACAAATGGGCAGCCCCTTCCTATCTACCCTGAAATCCGTAACTCCCTGTCCTGTGACAGCAGCAGCATCGCGTAGGCAGGTGAGCAGGAGGATTGCAGACCTGGAGGGCGCCTTTCTGAGCAGGAACATGTCCCTCTGTGAGCACAGGATGTGCTAAGAACCAGGCGGGAGCCGGGCGATGTCACCCCCGGCCGCTCGTCCCTGGACATTCAGCGTGGCTCCCGGGGCTGCCTGTATCTGCTTCCCACGGGCTCGTTGGCATCTGACGCCGTCTTAGCCACCAGGACCCAGGCATCAGGCAGCAAAGATTCCAGACACTGCAGGCCACACAATCTGCATCTCACTCAGCCTGGCCGTGGGGGCGTGAAAGCAGCAGACAGCACACAGGACAGCAAGTGTGACTCTGTCCAGGGGAGCCCCACCCAAGCCCTGGACTGCCTGCACCGACTCAGACACGCACCTCTGAGAATGGTTTGCAGAATCTGAGATTTTCTAGGCCCAAGGCCCCAGCACGTCTCAGACAGTGCCTGGGAAGCCAGCTACCAGAATGAAACATCGGGGTCAGGGCTGGACTGGCCCAGTGGCGGGCGTGGAAGCCGGGGCAGGGAAGTGCCGCCTGGGCTCTCCGTCAGTAAGCCCTGGTGTCGTGTGAGTGGCCCACGCTGCAGAACTCAACCCTCCCACGCGTGAAACGGAGCAGGCGACACTGCTGCACACCTCACCAGACCCGCACCTGGCACGCAACACTTGGCACGAGCCTTGGACCCGAGAGGGGAAGAGTCCTGCTCTTTCTCTGTGTTCCTTCAGACCTAGGAAAATGCTGGAAGGTCAAGCACAGGAAAGAGAGCACCCCAGCCCTCCCGCGGGGACAGCCCCGCCCTTAGAAGTCTCTGCTCTGCAGGGGCTTCCATGCACCCCTCTGGTTGAAGGGAAGCCAGGGAAAGGCTATGTGGCCGCCGTGTTCTTCTGCAAACCAAAGAGGCAGCTGGGGTACCCAGAGCACCACCGGTCAGCTGGAGTCACACTGACCCCTCTGGACTGTTGGTCAGAGCTCAGTTAACCTCGCCACTATGCTGTGTACACAAAGAAATGAGGCCGGCTGACCCACCGGGGCGCGCGTCATTTCCTGAGCAGTGGGTACAACAGGAACCGGGACGTCACTGGGCATTGTGCAGCTCCACCAGCCCACAGCGTCACTGTCCCCATGACGTTGGGGCTGAGCAGCAGGGCAGGGGCCCAGCTGGCCACGCAGCCTGTATGCACGCCTGTCCCATGCACGGTTCTCAAGGGAAGGCCTTGGGCGTGCCCTCCTGCACACTTCGGGACACCAGGCTTCTCCTTCGGAGATGGAGTTTGGATGAGCAGCTCCCACATCCGCACTTGCCTACAACTAGGACCCTCACTCCCCGTCCGGTGACCACAGTCCCTGCGCAACAGCCCACGCACCACGTATGCAGCTGGGGAGGCTGGCAGGAGGCCTTGGCTGTCTCCCAGCAGTTTCCCGCTTGGCAGCCATGAGCTGTGTCCCTTTTGCATACAAAGGATTTTTCCTCCAAATTAGTGCACAGCCCCTTGCATTTTCTCCCTTTTAAAAGGTCAGTCCCTTGACGTCAGATGACAAGAGGGACCCAAGCCCTCCGCCCTGACTCCGGGTGACACATCCTAAAGCCCTAGGTCACGCTCAGATGGGTGCTCACCGACACTTCTGTTTCATGTCTTGCGTGGGAGCTGCTTTTGGCCAGGGCCCCCCCTCCTGCACCCCTTGAGGAGAGGCCCCCAAGAGTACGGGGTACACAAAGCCTCACCCAGGGCGGCTGTGCCGTGGACGTGCACAGATACCACGGGGACTGCATCACAGCCAAGACGGGGCAAGAGAGCGGCCCGGGCTCAAACGCTGGGACACAGGCAGGCGAGCAGTGGCTGGGGGCCAGGGCCTGCCGGAGGAGGGCATGGGGACAGTTTATCAGGGACAGTTTCCACGCAGCGGGAAGAAGCGAGTCCAGGAGAGGCTGGCACAAAGTGTGGCTGTACCTGCTTGCCACCCCACGTGCCCGAGACGGTGCGTGTTCTATTACGTGCATTTTGCTGAAAGTAAAAACAAGTTGCAGGAGACAGTCAGAGGACTATGAGCTAAAGACAGAAGACCTGCTTTGCTGAGAAAAATAAACACCAGACTCTCCAAAAAGTTCAAGAAAAAATGCACATTATGAAAAACCCGCAGCAGGTGCTGTGGCATAGCAGGTAAAGCCACCACCTACAGTGTCCCACCTGCTGCACTTCCGATCCAGCTCTCTGCTGTGGCCTGGGAAAGCAGCAGAAGATGGCCCAAGTCCTTGGGCCCCTGCACCTGCGTGGGAGACCGGAGGAAGCTCCTGGCTCCTGGCTTTGGATCGGCCCAGCTCCAGCCACTATGACCATTTGGGGAGTGAACCAGCAGATGGAAGACCTCTCTCTGTGTCTCTTTGTAACACTTTCAAATAAATAATAAATCTTTAAAAAAGAAAGAGAAATGCATCCATGGATTTCAAAATTGCTTTGCTATAAAATCAGCTTGTAAAACACAACTTACAAATACACTTATCTTTCCATTCCCAGAGCCCCAGTGGCTTCGCAGGCCCTGGGCATTTGCCTGGTCCCCGACAGCAGGAACCCAGGCCCGCACAGCCAGGTGGGACTAGCCTCGGGGGCTTCGGGCAGGCTGCTGCATTTCTGACAGCAGAGAGTGGGACAGGGTACCAGAGAGGGGTGGGAGCTCCAGGCCCAGTGAGGCTGAAGGGGGCGCAGCCCATTCGGATGGACAGACCGACAGGCATCCTCCCCGAAGAAGGCAAACCTAAAGCCGACAAGCCGTGCCGCTGGCTCCCATACAGCTGCGGAAACAGGCACCCGGGTCCGGATTTCAGCCCAAACACTGAAACCTCTCTGCAGGAGACCCTGAGTGCCACCTGAGCTCGCACGTGGCCAAGGACAGACGCAGTGCCATGAGAACCGCAAGGGGTTGCAGGCAGGCCCCGCCCTCTCACCCTGCTCCCTGAAGGGCACGAGGCCAAAGCAGGAGGCTCACTGGTCACCAGGTGTCCTGGTAACAGCCTCTGACGTCCAGGCTCTGAGATGGTACCTGACAGCTTCCCAGGTCAGCGTTTGCACTTGACAGCCAAAGAACCCTGGGCCAACCCTGCGAGATGGCACCATCCCCAAATTTTCTCCCAAGAAAAGGAACTGAGACGTTGAGTGACTAAGGCAAAGCTACCCAGCAGTGAGAAGGCAGAGCTGGGATTTGAACCTAGATCTGCCCCAGCCCAGTGCTGCTAAGAGAAACTCCAGTTACAGTGTCAAACAGCATCTTGAAGACAGAGCCACGGGGCCGGTGTCGTAGCACAGCCGGTTAAGCACCCTCTGTAATGCCAGTGTCCCACATGGGTGCTGATTTGAGTCCCGGCTGCTTCACTCCCCATCTTGGGAAAGCAGCAGAAGATGG